AATGTGGAATATAAAATATGTCAAAAAAAGTTGTGTTTTGCAGTTTGGTGTGGCCTCTCTTACCTGCTCTCCCTTTTCAGCAGCAGGAGGGGTTAGAGGATGTCAAGCTGACTTTGTCCAAGATGCACAGGCTGCTGTTTGTGCACTCGGGTGACTCAGAAAATCTCTATTTGTGTCCGGGACTTGGTGTTGAACTCCTTTACTCCTTTTGTCCCAGGCTCAGGGAGAAGCACCGGGAGCTCTGTCCTATTTCCTTGTGTCCCTCAATTGATGCACTTTGCTTCTTCCCACCCTCAAGACCCCAAATTTTAACTCCTCCCAACCAGACCTACACGGTTCCTTCTCCTTTACCTCCCACTTTCTCACTCCACCTGACACACCTGCTTGAAAAACAAACACGGTCCTGTCAGCCCAGAACAATACATTTCAAATAAGCATATAAAAGACCTTTCATTGACATGAATAAATTGATTGGGACCATTACTTTGTAGCTGCTTCGCACAGAAAAAAGCCTCTCAAAGGCAGCCCGAGGCAGGGCAGCAACATTTACATTTAGATGAAGGCATTTCTGTCACAACACCTCCCAACAGTTTCTGGCCCCGGGTACTGTCTCCAGAAGAAATCAGTGAAGCCAAGGAGCTTGGCTTTAAATAACATAAAAGGAAAAGGGGGAATTTGTTTCTGCAATCCACTGAACGTTGTAGTCTGGAATCACAGGATGTGCAGCAGAGGAATGTGAAAGCAGAGTGGTGACACCACAGTGTGTTCCTTCACTCCTGAGCGTCCTCTGGCACTTCTTCAAACACTGCTGCTGATGTGTTTTATTTAAAACACTGCTGCTGATGTGTTTTATTTAAAACGCTGCTGCTGATGTGTTTTATTTAAAACACTGCTGCTGATGTGTTTTATTTAAAACGCTGCTGCTGATGTCCATTGTATTTGCCACTCCATAAAGAGCATTAAGCTGTGAAGGAATGAACTAGAGAGAAGGACAGAAGTGACAGGTGGATGACACTAAAACAATCCAAGTCAGAGGAAGGAAAATCCCACCAAGGGTGTTTTGAAGGCTCCAATTCAGCCACGTTTACCAGGGCAGGAGCAGCGGGGTCCTTGTAGCTGCCCAGAATTTGTAACTGGGGCTCATCTCTGCAAGGCCAGAGAAATCCCCATCCTCCAGATCTGACTCATAGTCTGTTCCAGCAGAACCAGGACCCCAGGCAAAGTGAAATACAACTCCACTGGCATCACACCGAGCTCTTTCCCAAGGCCAGCCCATCAATTTATCTGTAATTTCTCTCCCAAGCACTTGTTCCCCGGGCAGGGAGCTCAGCCTCACAAGCAGCACCTCTGCAGAGAACGATCCTTCCTGCTGACATTGCCACAGGTAAGGACACGGCACAAATATTTAAAGAGCTGACAAATGGTGGGATGGAATTGCAGCAGCATTCAGAAACTGGAAAGACACAACAAAGTCACCCAGAGTAAAAGAACAAGCAACAGGAGCAATCATTTCAATCTTTGCACATCTTTGACAGCTGCACCCCTGAGCTACCCAAGGGTGCCTTGGTGCTTGGGAAAGCACATTACTGCATTAATATTAATAAACAGCAAAGTCATTTGTGCTTACCACGAAGCTGGGCTTGCTTTAATGTCCTAAAATTTACAAACTCTGACTTTAAAACCCTGAAATAAAACAGCAATCAAACCCTGCCCTGGATGTGACTCCTACCTGCCACGTGGCCTCCACTCATTAAATGCTCTTTTTTATGGTGTCTTTTCCTGAGGCTTCCCCGTGACTCATCTGACCAGAAAATGGACAGATCAATATTTATTGTGAAGATTCACCTGTGAGGCCTAAGGAAGACATGCTCATGGTGTGTCAGAAACCTGCTCTGCACCAACATTCAGGTGCCACAGGTGACCATTCTAGAATTCACTTTTGTAAAAACCTCTTTCATGCAGATTAATTTTTTTTTTTTTTTTTTGCCAGATTCCTTCACTGGATATTTCTCTAGGGAGAAAGGGGGAAAGCGTAGCTGAATTTGCAGGGGCCAAGTTACCACTTCTACAGAGATCAGCACTTGCAAAGAACAAAAAAAAATAACCTGGCTAAATTGTCCACATGGGATCTGTGGTTTGCATTATGTTGCTTTTTATCTTTTGCTCCGGTTTGGTTTTGCAAAGTCAACAGCAGGAAAAAAAAAATCCAACTTTAATTAAAGAGGGACACGAGCAGATTGCAAAGGCTGGGCTTAGAAATGCAGGGTCCTCCCAAAGGCTCTCTCCTCCCTCAGATGCTGCTTCTGATGGCTGAGAAAGCACCCAAAGGACAGGGCAGCCTGAGCCCACTTGAGGCCCACACTGAGCACGAGGAATTAAAAAAGAAATGTCAAAATAAATAGCACAGGCTCGGAAAAAGCACTTTCAGAAGCTATTTCCAGCAGACAAGAGCTGACCTTCCTCTCATAAAATGCCACGGGGTATAAACAGAGCAGCCTGTGATGCCATTTGTCACGAAGCCCTGTCTGCCTGCCCCGGGCTCACTCCAACAACAGGACACTCCTCACTGTGCTCAGAGCCACAATTTCCCCGAGCTGCAGCCAAAACATCCATTTCTTTGATAGACGATGATCACAGGGCAGAAGCAGAGCAAGGAGGAGCCTTCCCACCTCCCTCCTGAGCAAAGGTTTGCTGTGCACGGCTCTCTGTGCCAGCCCGAGTTTGGGAGATGCTGATCCTCACCCAGTCCCGAGCACTCAGCAGTCACAGCCACCACAGGGCACACAAATGTCACTTGATGGAACTCAAAAGGCAAATTTCAGCCTTTCAGAAGGCAATGGGCACACAGTGGCATCTCCCTCTCTGCCATTACCCCTCTGGAAGGCTTCTCTTGCCAGCTCTGGGTCAGTTGTGTTCAAGTGGCACAAACAAAACATCCCTGAGGAAAAACAATTCCCAAAAATGAGGGAATACACGGTGTATTATACTGAAAACTGAGCAACAGAGCAGCAATGTGACTCAAGGACGCAGAAGTGGAACTGGACATCACGTTGGTGTTTTTGTACTGTGTATTAAAAACAAAATTATCTCAAAGAGGGAGAATATAAAGGCAAGGAGAGACAGTTTTGAATTGAACCAGGCAAGGTGGCCAAGGCAGCACCCCACATGATCCCAGGTGAAAGCAGCTCCTCTCCCACTAACAACAATCAAGAGACACATTTCACTTGCAGGCAAAACCTGGCTGCTGTAGTGTAGCTTGGTTTTATTTATGTCCACAAATATTTCAAAAAAATTACAAAATACTCAAATGGAGAGAACACAGAAGTCACGATTTCTGGGTTTCTACTCTGTTTACACTGTGTTATCCCATGGCAAACTACTCATATATACATTAAGCTTCAAGATATATATAAATGTAGCAGTCAGAATGTACACTCTGCTTTAACGGTGCAGTGAAACAAGCTCAACCATGACGACATAGAACAAGAGAGACGTTTCAAAACACTAAAGCAAAATTTAAAAATAAACTTTCGGAACAGAGGAAAAAGAAGAGAGATTTCTTGAAACAAAATCAAAAGGTCTGGGTTGTTTTTTTTTTTTTTTTAACATGGCATCGAACACCGAGATGGCTTCAGAAGCCACTGCAGGTAAAGTTGTAGTTAATCACTGGGCTAAAATAATTTCAGTGCTTATTTGCTGAATGATGTGAACAAAAAAGCTCCCATAAATTATCAGAATGCTCTTCTGGGAAAAATAAAAAAAAAAATGAACAGCTTTAGCACAGACTGCAACTTCAGCTGAAAAACAAAGACCACAGAGAGGGCCACTGGAGGGAATTAGCTTTTCATTTTTCTGAAGAACTATGGCTGAACAACAGCAAGGGAAGGGTCAGAAGAAACGGCTGAAGTGGCTGAACTCTCCTCAACTCCCCAATTCCACATGGTAAAACAAAAGGAGGGGAGAGATTGAACTGAAATGTGCCTGATGAGACCTTTAAAGCAAACTGAGGCACCCTCTGCTGAGCAGGCCCATCCTCCTGGCTGCTCAGCTGTGAGCAAAAACCATCCCTGTTCCACAAGGAAACCTCCTCACCCCATCACTGCCCACACCCACGGAGCAGGACATCACCCCTCTGGATTCTGGACTGACTCGTGATTCCCCAACCTCAGAAAACACAACCTTCACCCAGAATTAAACACAGCACGGCTGACTGAACCCCCCAGCAGGGCTTCAGCACTGGCAAATCTGCAGTGGAGCACAGGAAAAAGGGAAAAATCTGCTGAAAAATCAAATCCCCCGCTCTCCCCTTGCCTTGGAGCAGCCAGAACATTTTGAACTGTGAATCGTCTGCCAGCAGCTCCGGGCTGAGCAGCAGGAGGTGGACGAGCACTGAGCCTGCAGCAGATTAACTACAACTTCAGTACAGTCCTAGGACACAACCATCACACTGAACAGGCTACAACAGCAGAGAGAGCACTCGTGAGTGGAGAGAGAGAGAGAATGGGGGAGTTGTGCACCAGCAGGAAAAAAAAAAATGACCAGCACGTTCAGATGTCCATTGGTCACGTCACCCTCTGCTCCAGCAAAGAAAAACTGTGGCAAAACTGGGGAACCAAACTTTCCAAATCTGCCTCGTAAGCAGAGGTGTGTCCATCAATGCTCACCGTGGATTCCTCTGCTCTCCCCAGGCTGGTGGGAAGGAGCAGACAGGAGTGACCCTGCAGGGAGGCACCCAATGTCACTGCCCATGGGTCCTGCTCATCCCACAGCCCTGAGGGACAACCACGAGCAGCAATTGAACAGTTTTTGCTTATAAAACCCCAAATTTAAACAGTCAAAGAGAAAAAAACAGGCTGGTCTTTGCAACATGACTTAATGAACGACCAAGTTGCCAAGTCCACTTTTCTGAAGAACTTATCGAACAGGAGAAGCACGTCCCCACAGAGCTGTGGCTGCACTGGTCTGAGCCATGGAACAGCTTTAAAAAGAGATTTTTTTAAAGAACAGATTATTTCTCTGAACTTTCTGCCCAAAGTCTAAACCCAATGGAGCTAGATTAAGTTTCAAAAGGTCACAGGAACGAAGTGTTTTATGGCCACACTGAAAATGAACCGTTGAAGGTGGCATCAAAAGGGCCAGCGAGGTCCAAGGGACATCTGAGCTGCTGAGAAACCCAAATCAACAAAACCAGCTGCAGAACAGAGAGATGGAACACGAACAAAAACCCCCAAACAACCAAACCAACCAAAAAACCAAGAACAGAAACAGTCATTTGCAACATTATCCCTGCAAATCCCTTTAATGCTTATTGTTGATATCAAACCAAATTTCAAGCTTTTACCCATTTGAAATTATTGATACTCATCATTCCCTTTAATTAAAGGGATAATTATATATATATATTTTATTAAAAAATCAACTCTGTATTCTGTCAATACCAGGTAGGAATTCACAATTTGTGATGTTACTGAAAATCAAGATAAACGTTTCTGGAGTTTGTTTTGTTTTGTTTCTCCCCTCTACCCAAAAAAAGTTATTTACAGACTTAAAAAGCCATGCTGCAGAACTGAGCTCTCTTTAAAATTATGAAGATTTCCTACAATGTATTAAAATAAAAGTAGATTTTTTTATTATTATAGCACTTGGATTCAGAGCTTGTTATGTCACCTACTTGCAATCCTTGTTTTTTTTTTTTTAATTACCTATAGATGCATTGAGTGTCCCTTCACGCACAGTGACTTGTGTTGTGAACCTGATTCTAGCACCTACTGAAAACAAACTAGTAAGAAAAGAAAAGAAAAGGAAAAAAAAACCAACAAAAAAAAAAAAACCAAGATTGCAGGAAGTTCTCTGAATATTCCACACAGTCCTGTATTTCCAATAGGCTTCTGAATACGTTTTCATGCAGGGAGACCCACACCAGTCTTGAGAAATCTTCTCTACAAATGAACACTATGCTGATAAGTCTCTACTTGTTGGGTGGTTGCTTCTGTTTTAAATATATAAAGAAATCTTTATAAGATATTCTTTTCCTTTTGTAGCTCTTCTTGTATGTAAAAATGTTCCACTCCTTCCCAAGGACTGGGGTTTCCATAGCCAGCGTTACAAATAAATAATTTATTACAACTGTTTGTCGCCTTCTTTTTTCAGTCGACTGCAAAGAGAAAGAAAACTCATTTTAACGCGACAGAAGAGGTGTCAGACACAGAAAAAAAAGCAGGGGCTGGAGGCTGTGAGCTCTGAGCACCACCCAGGGCACTGTCCCAGCACAGGGCATCCCCACACGTGGGCACGGTCACCAGGGCCAGCTGTGCAGATGGCACACGTGGCAGTGTCTGGTGTCACACAGGCAGCCCACAGAGCCCCTCCAGGGTCACCCCCACAGAGCATTCCCGGGAGAAACTGGGAATTCCTGCAGGCACTCTCAGCCTGCACTGCTGGACCCTGCTGGCACACACTGCAACTGCCCCCTGCCCTCAGTCACGCCTGAGGATTTACTGAATTCCTCCCCTGCTCTCCTCCACAAAACCCTGCCCACCCTCCTCTGCTCTTCTCAAGGAAGAGAAAGACATGTGGAAGCAGCAATTGCACTGAATATCCCAATGAAAACCCCAATCAGAGGGGATTCTGCCACAGGAGAGTCAACTACTCTCATCTTGTGCCAGAAATTTGGACCTCACTTCCCACCTGCCCAGACCAGCACCTGTAACTGCATCAGGGCTCAGTACACAGCAAGAGAGCCGAAAATTCAGAGGATAAAAGCAAGAATGTGGAGAAGTATGATGGAATTCCCAAAAGGCTTCTTTGCAGTCTCACCTGTAGTAATCTTCCTGACTGGGTAGGTGCCCACCGTGCATGTGAGGGTGCCCGTGCAGCCACTGCTGCTCCATTGCCAGTCTTTGCAGCTCTGCCGACTGGGCGTGCATGGCCTGCAGCTGGTGGGCTGCTGACATGGGAGGTGGAATGGCTCCAGGCAGATCCCGAGGGTAAGGAGTTCCTGGGGGACAGGGATCACTTTTACACTCTTTGTTCGCTTCTTGTTCATCCCAACAAAACATCACAACCACCCCAAGTCACGGCTCAGCTCCCCACAGTGAGAAATGCTGAAGGCCACAGGAAAAGATGGCATTTCAGATCAAAGCCAACCCTTGCAAAGGACCATAAAATGCTCTCACCAAAGACTGGATGTCGGAGCATTTCATGCTCGTGAGGTGGCTGCCCTAGCAATGGGTTGGGGATGGTCCCAGGTGGGTAGGGAAAACGTGCCAGGTGGGGTCCAGCTGCTAAAGGATCCACCAGTGGATGGACAGGTCCTGCTGAGCCTGGGAGAGAAGGAGACAAAGCGTCCATCAGCTGCCTGGGGACTGCAGAGAATCACCAGGAAAAGGAACACAGAGCCAGAACACTTCCCTCAGCTGCTGCACAAAATGTGGGGTCACTGTACCCTCTGTTCACGCCCACTCTAAGGAGACACTGGGGCTCTAACAGCCTTGAGCACCAGTGGGGCCACCTGGAGCAAGAACCACCCAAGAGCCCCTCAGCGTGTTTGCAGCTGGCAGAGCACAAAGCCAAATTACCTCTCCAACACACACAGAGACCTGGCAGTGAACTGACTTGGCTGTGTCTGCACCAGCCTCTCTCCGGACTGGGAGGGACAAGGTACAAATCATGTTTTAGTTCAGAACAAGCACCTGGGGAGCATCCACACTCACCTGCACAGAGGTGCTCAGTGACTGACTCACCTGGCAACAGAATCCTTGTACAGACACGGCCTACATCAAATTTCCTCTGCTGTCAGGGGGTTTGCAAACCTGCCTGCAACTGAGCCCATCTGTGCTTTCTGCAGTGAGCCTCAGCAGCTGCAGGAATGCTGATACATCCAGCACTGCCATCTTCTACCTGCAACTCCCCAGCCCTCAAGACTCTCACAGCACCCTGCTGCTTTCCTTGCTGTACAATCTGGCCTCTGCAACAGCACTCACTCCCAACAGTGGGCCAGCACATTTCATGGACACTGCTCCAGGGCAAACAATGCTGCATTTGCTTGCACAAACACTGCATTAGTAGCTGGACACCAGACCCTGCATTTTAAGTACTCTGACTTTCCACCCCACCTCAGTTGGCAGCTGCAGCACCTGGTGCCCGGCTTGCCACGTTCTCTCCAATGTGTCACCAGAAAATGTGAAAATTTCTGCTAAGTGCCTCATCTCCAAGACTCCGGATCTCTAGAGCAGTAACCACGTATCGTGCTTCAGAAATGGGAAAGGCACAGATTCATTTCTGAGACTATTCATTATTACATTTTTACATTAAGGTGCTGCTCTAGGACAGCAGGACTTTAAAAAACAAACCCACAACAAACCAGCGAACGTTTCACAGCGAGAGTCTGAAGGAAGATCACCGTGATGTTACCATCCTGCGTCACTCCCACAAAAACTGCATTTCAGTTACCACAAGCTCACACAGCACAGAACCACAACATGCACATGAAGAGAGGGATTTTGCTATTTTGAGTTCCAGGCTCAGAGAGGGCCCGTTGCGAGCCGCTCCCTACGGAAACTCCCGGGGCTCACCTTGGTGTAGGGGGTCCTGCTGGTGTAGGTGTAGATGTGAGTGTATGTGTGAGTGTTGGTGATGGTGGGGGGTGACGTTGAACATCTGCAGCCGCGCCAGGGGGTCGTTGGTGAGCGAGGCCATGCGCTCGGCGTGGATGCGCTCGGCCGCCAGCCTGTCCGGGTAGCTCATCTCCGGCCGCAGCTGCGGCCCCGCCAGCGCCAGTCTCTCCCTCTCCAGAGGGTTCAGGCCCGGGTGGAAGGAGGCGAAGGGGTGAGGCCCCGCCGTGGGTGGGATAGTCAGTGCCCCGTGGCGGGCGAAATGCTCCATGGGGTTGGTGGCCGGGTGCAGCGCGTCCAGCTCCGGCGGCTTCACCTCGAAGCCGGGCTTCATGCGCTCTCGCAGCTCCCGCTCGCGGATCTCGCGCTCGCGGATCTCGCGCTCGCGCAGCTCCCGCTCGCGGATGGCGGGGTCCACGTTGTAGAGGCCGGGCATGTGGTAGGCCAGCAGCGGGTCCGTGGGGTTCAGGGGCACGAAGAACGGGTGGTTGCGGTTGGTCGGGGACATGACGTGCGGCCGCGCGTACTCGCTCAGCGTCCGTAGCGCCGGCGTGTCCGGCCCGATGTACGGGGGCACGGCCGCGATGGTGGTCGGGGGGGGCTCGAAGGATGGCCTCATGTGGGCTGGCCCGCTGAGCTGCGACTCGCCCAGGCGGCCCTCGTGGGAGGAGCTGGACACCTTCTGCTGCACACAACGGGAGAGAAGCTCAGGTCAGCACACAATGGCTGAGAGCACCTCACACACACACACACACAAACACCTCCCGTCTGTCCCCAGCCCCTTTTCCAGGAGACAGCACTCGTGTGCCTGCACAGCAGTGCAAGGGACACAAAGGCATTCAAGGGACACAAAGGCATTCACTGATCTGCACTGTGCCCTGCTACTGCAAGGTAAATGCCAACACTTGGCCTAGTTCTGCCCAGCTGCTCTGGCTTCCCACAGAACCAGACCAGGGGCAGAAACTCTCCATTTGCCTTAAGAAGACAGCCCCAGGCAGGTCAGGAGGCGCTCAGAGCGGGCTGGATTTCAGTCCGTACACACAGCTCCATGCTCAGAGACCCCTGACAGGATTAAACTGCTCCAGGGGATCTGCATTTTGCAGTTACCATGCAGGTCAGATCCAGCCATCAATTCCCTTCCCCAGCTCCCAGCCAGAACTGCACCTACCGCAGCTCTTTCCGCTTCTCTCTCACGCTCACGCTCCCTCTCTCTTTCCTTCTCTTTTTCTTTTTCTCTTTCCCTCTCTTCCCTGGCTTTCTGCTCCGCTTCCCTTTTGGCCTTTTCAATGGCCTCTTCTCTCTTCTTGGCCAGTTTGGATCCTGCCAGAGGCATGAAGTACAGGTCTGCCCTGGAGCACGAATTGTAGCCACGGTCCAGGTGCTTATAGAACCTGAAAGGAACAAAAGAGAAAGAGCTCAGCCCTGGGAAAGGTGCAATGGTGTGGGACTTGAGAGCTGTACGTCCAAACTAAAAAAATATCATTCTAGGCTTGGACCAAACATTACCAGCTTCCCAGAAAGCCAGGAGAAAATTAAGTGTACCACAGAGAGTGGAGTATAAAAACAGGGAAAGCAGAGCACTGATAAAGCTCCGTACCTGGCTGACTGGCTGGCGTGACTGGGGATATCCACCACCGTGGGCTCTGGGGATGGGCTCCGGGGTGGGGGTGGAGGGCTCTCCGGCTCCTCAGCCTCATCTGGGACCTCCTCCTTGATCTGGATGGGTGGCAGCGTGCAGGCTGTCACCACGGGCACTGTCCCACTAGAAGCGGCTGACGTGGAGATGGGGGTCTGCAGAGGGATGCCAGGCACGGTGGGCGGCGTGGAAGTGGAGGGGCACGAAGGAGGCGTGATGGAAGGGGGACCCCCGGGCACAAAGGGGTGCTGAGAGAAGGGAGGCTGGGAGGAAACCTGATGGAGTCCAGAGGGGGGGTGAGCGGCAGGAGGAGGAAGGCTCTGGCTCTGGGTCAGAACGGGAGGCTGGGCTTGCGAGGACTGCAGCGGTTGGCTCTGAGGCATCAGCTGCAGGGGAGGAGGGTGTGCAGATGGAGGGTGGTGAGTGGAGAGCGAGCTCAGAGGCTTCAGAGCGGGCGGAGGAGGCAAGTTGGAGTTCATGGAGAAGGGAGACGGCCCAGAGAGATGGGGAGGGTGCTTGTGGGCCGGAGCCGTGGGCAGCTGCGGGATGGGGGTGGTCGGGGGAGGTTTGATGTGAGGCATGGCCATGGGGGCGGGGGGCAGCGGCTGCTCACGGGGAGGCTGCGCCGGCTGCAGCGAGGTGGAGCTGGGCAGGACGGGCTGCGTCACCTGCAGCCCCGAGTGCGAATGGGACGGGGCTTGTGTCTGGAGGGGCACCTGAGACTGAGCTGCCGGGGCGGGCAGGGAGAAGGGCTGGGCAGGCCCGGCGTGGGGCAGCAGCGGCTGGGCCGGCAGGCTGTGAGGGGCGGGCTGGGCCTGGCCGTGCAGCGAGGGCTGAGCGTGGGGCTGCGCCGGGGCCGGCGGGGGCTGGCTCTGCGGCACGCTCAGCGGCTGCAGGGGAGGGTGAGGGGACGGGAGCCTCTGCGGGTGCAGCGCCGGGGCCTGCTGGATGTGCGAGTGGGGAGCGGGGGGCGCGGGGGGCTGCGCCTGCCCCGAGGGCTGCGACACCGGCGGGGACGCCTGGGCCGGAGCCGGGGCCGCGCTGGACGCGGGCGGCAGCGCCGGCAGCGGGGCCGGCACCGCAGCCGTGGGAGCGGCGGCCGGGGCAGAGCCGCTGCTCGGGGCCTGCAGCACCTGCGGCTGCGCCTGCAGCACTTGCTGCTGAGCAGAGGAATCCGAGTCGCTCTCATTGTCCTGGGGGCTGGGGATGCTGGGGGACGTGCTGCGGTTGTCCTGGTCGATGTCCTTGGGGTCGCTGCTCCCCTCGTCGTTGACGCTGCGGCTGTCGGAGCTCTCGCCTTCGCCCTCTCCCTCCGAGGGGGAGTTGGGCCTGCTGATCTCCTGTGGGGAGAGCAACGGTGACCACTGTGCCCGGGAAAGCACAGCAGGGCATTGCCGGTGTGCCACGGCAAGGGCGCTGTCACACGTGCTGTGCCGACACAGGCACGGTACCCTCTGAACATCACAGGAACACAAACACCCGAGGCAAGTGCAAAGCCAGCAGAACCAGGATCCTTCCACAGCGCCCAGGGGCAATAGGAACAAACTGAGATACAGGAGGGGTCCTGCTGAACATAGCAGAACACTTCTTCACTATGAGGGTGACCAGCAATGGAAAAGATTTGTCTTGTGACAACTCCACTGGTTGTCCTCCAACTTATCACAAAAGACAAAATACCCAAATTTAAATTCTAAAAAAATGAAGGAAAGGAGTTGAGGTCAATCCAGTGTACTCCTATATGGTTGATATTAATATTAAAACAAAGAAAAGCCCCAGCTTCTGGACTTACCCCGTATCCCTGCACTGTTTGCAGCAGAAGGAACACATTATAACATTGGTCGCTTTCCAGCCACAGATTAAGCTACAATTTGCTGTGGCTTAAGCTGATTTAATGTTTCTCAGTTTGTTACCAGATTTGCACCCCCTCCCCACCTCAAACCATTCTCCTAAGAGGAAATACTCCTCTGTGGGACTCACTTGAGTTTTGGACTTTTTGGCATTGGACCTGTCAGGCTCCTCCGTGTCGGATGCTGCCTTTTCCCGCTGCCTCTTGGAGTTCTTGAGAGGAGAAGACACCTCTTCTTTTATCTTCTGCCACAAAGGAAGCAGAACACAACAGTTACCAGCGGTGCAAATGCAAAACTGAGTTTAGATCAGTGCCACCCTACTTAACACAAATTAAGGAGCAGCACAACTCGGGAGTTGACACAGTATTTAAGAGCAATCCAATACACATCAAACTAGCAGGAAAAAGGCAGAGTGCATAAAGCATTCCTCACATGAAGGGATATTTTTAACAGAGGTGGGCAGGACCAAATCCATCAGGAACTCAGAGCAGATCAACTGGCCCAGGTTACCCTTCTAACAGAGACCAGTTATGAAGTGGTGCAAGATGCAGCCAGAATTTCTGCAGGAGACAGGATAAGCCTCCTCCTGCTACATGAAAGTCTTGCTCTACTCTTGATATTTTGAGAGGAATATTTTTAGATCCCCTCAAATACAGGGCCAACAGTGAATAGCTATTCTGAGATTACTACCTTCTCCCATGGCCTGGAAAAGCTCTGTGTATCACGTAATTACCTAACTTTAAATTCTGCCAAGTTTTCAGTTTTATAATGTGAAAACTTGCTCCATACTCATTTTGACTTCTTTTTTGTAATATTTATTTTTAACTTGCTACTTCTCAATTCACACTGCTTAATGGTAAGCCTTCCCTGCTTCATGTGGCTTTGTTTCTTTAGAACTCTCTTGGAAAGGCACTTAATTCATCTGAACAGACTCAGCTGTCAGCTTGCTCTGAACAATCAAGCAAATACACCTCCAGAAAAACAGTAACAGAAGCAGACTCAATTACTAAATGCTCATACTCTTTTGTAAACAAAGATTAAGTACTACTTACAAAAAATCCCCAAAACTGTCTACTTGTCTTAAATACAGCATTTCTGTTCTGCATTACTCCCCTGAGCTTAATGCTTTCATTTGCATCCGAAATGGAGGGATTACTTTCTTGTGAGAGCACAAAGGTTATGTGGGGCCACTGGAGTGGTTTGGTCACCCCCATCCCTGCCTGGCCAGGCACGGAGCAGCTCTGAGCTGCTCCACACTCCAGCTCCACACTCACAGGGTGATCCCAGCTCATGCAGAGATTCCCTGGCCTCCTGTACCTGAACAGAGGGCAGGAGAGCCCAGAGGGAAGGGGAAAGGGGAAAGGGGGTGGAGGAAAGGGAAGGGGAAGGGGAAAAGGGGAAGGGGAAGGGCTCACCTTGGTGGATTTCTTCACAGACTCGGCCTTGCTGTCGTTGCTGGAGGTGCTGGCGGCGCTGGGCGAGTTGCGGCCGCTGGAGCGCACGTCCTCGGCGATGGGGGAGGCGCGGCCATCGGGGCTGGCTGCCTGCTTCTTCCTGCCACTGCGTAGGGTCGACATCTGGGGCACAGAAACACAGCCAGCTCAGCCCCGGGCAGCCCCTCAGAGTGCTCTGCCTGGGCAGGGGCATGGAGGAAACACCCTGGGCAGAGCCTGGCAGCAGAAACCTGCAGCGTTTCACCTCGGTCCACTTCTGCCTCCACAGTTCAACTGGACTCACTTGGAAAAGGAGGGAAAGCCCTCATCTGTCTGCTCACCAGCATTAAGGGCTGATTATTTAATTAGCAGGGTCTGTTAGAAAAGGCGTTTAGGAAGATGCTCCAATACACAGCACACACACAAGGGTGCATGAGGCAGGAGAGGACCCCCATGTTCCATTAAACATACTCCATCTGTTGGCAGTCAAGGCCAAGGTCTAAACCCTCAGTTCCAGCGTGCTCCTGCTATGCAGTAAGGGATCAGTAGAGGACATTTCAATAATTAATGCTGTTTCCCTGCCATTTTTGGCATGTTTTTGGAGGACTGGCTACCAAAAAAGCAATGGAGCCAACACTCCCAAAGAGTGCAGCCTCACAAGGTATTCAGAATCAATGGTCCCATCATTCTGTTCAGGGAGACAGAGAGGGGAGGGCAAGGAAAGAAATCTGTCTGCTGCTTTCTTTCAGCCAAACCCAACTCCAAAATAAATCACCCAGAGCTGCTGTCAGAGCCCTCACAAGTGCCACACTCCCAGGAAGGCTCCTGGTGCCCCACCTGAGTAACAACTCAGAGCACAGAGGCAAAGCACAGCTCTCTGTAGGGAAGAGACTTTAACTCCAGTAACATGAGGAGCCCACAAGAACAGCGTCTAATGTTTTTAAACTCCTCCCAAGGGCGTAGCTGTGACAGGATGCAGCTGGAAGGAGGACGTGCACTAGCACAGGAACTGTCATGCACTGCCAATGCCCCCTTACGATGACAACTCACTGCCAGTCATTACAGAGAAATAAGACAGCTTGCAGGGACATCCCATCTCCTGTTTGCAGAGAAAGCCTCAGCAAAGCAGGAGCAGGCACAGCCCATGGCAAAGCAGCCAGGTCAGGGCTCTGGCTCCTTTCACCCTGCATTCCAGAGGGTGAAACCCACCGAGCCTCGACTCCGCCGTGTCCTCATGCTATGCTTCCCACTGAGGCCATCGTCTTCCTCTTTCACAGGCTTGAACATAAAGGGAGGGGGGTCCACGGGCTTCTCGATGGGTGGCAGCTCCCCGTACTTCTTGAAGTGGATGCGGCAGTCCGTGCACAGCAGGATGTTCTCCCGGCCGCCGTGGTGCCAGTCCTTGGAGGCTTGGGGCAGGGAAAGCAACAGCTCAGCAACTCACACAGCACCCCAGCCCCAGCACAAATACAGGGAATTGGTAAAAAAAGGGGTACAGCTTCAAAAACAGCTGCTTTTCTATGGGTAACGAAGTTGGAGAAGTTTCTGGAGAAGTCTGTCCCAGTGCACATCCTCAATATTCAATTTACAAACCGTGGTTGTTTGCTTAAGAAAGTACAGCTTTGAGGTACAGAAAAAAACCTTATCTGCTCTACCTGGGAGCTAACAAGCAGCTGTTGTTCTCCAAAGCTGTGGTTTCTGCAAGAGAAGTGAGCTCTGAACTTCTTATTTCCTTCCCCACTCTGGGGCTCCCCGTCCCATCTGCAAATGCCCCAACCTGAGGCGACCTTCAGGAACAGCCCCAGGAACGGGGCTGAGGCACAGGAGATTTGCTGCAGCATCAGGAGGTTTTGTGTGTGACAGCCACAGCCCAACACTGATTCATTATGTCACAAATTGATTACATAGATTATGGATTATGCAGATTTATTCCTGTCTGAATGTCTACCTCAGGGTTCTCCTTTGTCACCGCAGTATTAATTTGCAATGGCAAAGCCTGATTAACTCTGTTAGGAACGCTGCATATTTGAGCTGCTTCACCCCCACACTGCTGTGAACAGCTGCCCCAGCACAGGAGCTGCTCCTGCTGGCTGCACCCACGGCCCAGGCAGCAGCAGAGGGGAGAAACCAGCAGGGACTGGGACGTACTGGTGGTGAAGCAGTGGCGGCAGGCGTAGCCCTTCAGCTCCTGCTCGCTGTCCTCGCTGTCAAAGTCATCTTCACTGGCCGAGCTCAGGTCCACTGAGGGTGGGAGAAAGAGGAAAATGGAAAATAAACACTCAGCAGGGTTTTCTAATTCCTCCTACTTGGCTAAAAGAAGCATTAAGTAAAAGAGATGGAGCCTCCCCACGCCCACCCTGCCTTGCATTACCATTAATTCTGATTTTTCAAACTGACCAAAACCAGACCTCATCACTCTGCCAGGTTAAAGGAGGATTCCAGGAATGTGCCAACCTGGAACCTCTGATTCTTCTGGTTCATTTCCAGGTAAATTGTCATTCAAATACAATCCGTGGTGAGTTCAAGAGGCTGTGTTCCAAACCCACAGTTTTCAAGAGAAAAGGGGTTTATCTCTAGAATCTGGTCAAATTTAAAATCAAATATTCTATATTTAAAACCTACAAATCCCATGAACAGGTCCTGTAGTGGCTTTTCTGGTTTTTATTTTGTTACCCAGCAGCAGAGGTGTTTGTGGGTGGAGGAATCAATGCTTACATACAATGGACCTGTTGGAAAAATATTTTGTGATTCTTTTGGATGGGAAGCACTAAAGGATAACACCAACTTTCCTGTCCTTACTGCAGGGCTCCAAGTTACAACCTGTGGCAAACTCACACTGCAAAATGTCATGTTTTGAAGAAGAGACTATACAAAAGGTCCCCTTCCTTTGTGGTAAACTGGCTGATTACCCATCTGTGAGCTCAAAAGCAGCATCTAAACCACTGAAAATATGCAGACATCACAAAAACTGTATCTTACCTTCTTCTAAACACCTCAGGAATAAATATTTCCCTTTTGAGAGCACTGCATTTTTCTAGCCTCGCCACTATAAATTCACAACATAACAGGGCTATAATTTGGCACAAGCAGGAAGCCCTCTGGCTTCTTCTGTTCCAATCTTTAATTAGCAGAGAAGTCCTTGATACAGGAACAGTGTTTTTCTAAAGGCTCCAAGAGGATGTTTTGTACATGCAGGTTACAGTTTATGGATTAAAGCTCACAGATTCTCCAGCACTTGCCATCAGCATTTGTCAGCAACTCGTTACCCTTCAAATTAACACAGGGTTACATTTAATAGCTGCCACTGCTGTAATTCCTACATTAATACTTGCAGGTGTTCAAACCCTGACTGCAGAGCTGACCCCAGGCTAGCACTTGCTTTCTTTTGCTAAGTGAATTTTTATTTTCATCCTGCAGTCAGATCCATAAGGATGGGTCCTCCCAGCCACAGCTCTCTCATGCTGAGTATTTTGGACTGGGCTGTGGAGTCCAGACCCTTACAGAGATCAGCAGTAAATCCTACCAGCTCAGCAGGGAAAAGCTCCCAGCCCTTTCCTGCCCTCTCCCTTCTGCCCTGGACAGAATTCTGTGTCCTGCCTGCTCACCACATCCTCCACCTGCCCACGTTCATTTTTACATCTGCCAATCTACCTTCCACAGCCCCTTTTCTCTGAGGCACGTGGGTTTAGAATGATTTAAATCTCACAGGTTTAAACCTTTCCCCACGGCCAAAGGTTTCTATCCCTGCATGGTCCCTGTGCAGTGCAGCACAGCACTGCTCTGGGGAACTGCTCTTGCTTCTGACACTTCTGCTCCAGGCAGGGCCAGTGCTCCTCCAAGACTGCCTGAGACAGTGCTGGCTGCAGCACAAGGCAGGGGACACCCAGAAGGATGGAAGGGATTTCCTCCCAAAGCCAGGGAGAACCTCCTTCCTTCTTTCTGTGCTTCCCAATTCCCACTGCTGGAATAAGCCTGGAGAAAATACAACACAACACCAGGAAAAAGAGCAGGGAAATCCAACCCCAGGGCAGTATTTCCATCCTTACAGGATGCTTTCATGCTCAAGGACTGGGTGATCAAAGCCACCTCCCACATTCCAGCAGAAACGGAGCAGGGACAGAGAAGGAACTGCCCGAACTCCATTCCCTTGTGTCCCCTGCGAGGTGCAGCATCCCTGGTGCTGCCTGTCCTGAGCAGAGCCGTGCCCGGCGCGGGGCTGCACTCACAGAACTCGCTGGAAGGGGGCCGGGAGGGGGTGTTGACCGGGGTGGAGGCCGTGCGGGTTTTGATCCTGCGGAACACGGCCTGGCGCCGGTGCCGCCGGTGCGCTCGAGAGCTCGCTGCCTCGGGGGTCTTCTTCCAGTAGTAATAGAAGGTGATCAGCTCTCCCTGCAAACACACAACACGCGCTGTTAGACACCGTGCAAACATCACTTGTCAGCTGTCGGCCTCCCCTGCCTCTCTGGGGGCACGCAGGGATTTTTTCCAGGAAGAATCATGATGTGTTTCAGCTGGAAATAAAGAACTATTTAGGGTAAACACACAAAAAAAAATTATTATTTTTAAATTGCTGTTGCAGAGGAGGAAAACAAGTAAATAAATGCTTTTTTACTCCTTCCCTAGGAAAGAAAAAGATTGGGAAGCACAAGGCTCCACCTGGAGCTTCAGAAGAGGGTGCCCTTGTGTCACTGTCAGCATCCCCTGCTGCCTCTGCCCCTCTGCTCTGCTGAGCTCTGACA